TCTTTCTCTGCTCACTAGAGTATAAGATTTAAAAGATCAGGCAGCTTTGTTTTAATTCACTGATATTTCTGAAAAACCACGTCTAGCACACAGAAAGTAGTCAATACATTTTGGAAGAATTGAATAGACCATTTCTCTACAATTTACATACTCAAAGAGAATGAGGCTTCAGTGAAATCACTTGGGTTAGAAGATTATTGGTTACATTTTCTAATATAATTTCTGCAGAAGTTTTTCTGTAGAGCAGTGAGGATAGAAATTAGGAAGAATTCACAGAAAGGCTGATTTATGTGTGTGTGTGTTTAGTTAAATACATCAACAGTGTGATTATTTGAGTCTAGAATTATTCCTCAGATGTAAGAGTAAGACATGGAGAATGTGCTAAAAATGAATTGGAGTGTGGGTGTGTGTTTAATTGTTAGAAACTCAACAAAATACGGGAAGGAAACCTATCTAAAACTCAAGACTCCGGAAGGCCACCACCCATTCTCCTTAATAAACATAACAGAGCTGTATTTCCTCAGACAAGTCCCTCAGCACACATTTGTTTTTATAGTATAGTTGTAAACAGGTCTGCAAAATGATGATTCTTTTTTAATGTAAAATTAACATTTTAAGCATCCTTGTAAAATACTTTTTATTTTTTCCCCTTTCCTTTCTATTTTAACATTAATTTTTATTCTATTTCTAGCAGTACATGTGGATTTTTTAAAATTAGAAACTATATATAATAGTAAAAATACATAATTCAATCACCACTGGGTTAATATTTTCATATGTATTTTTCCAGGCTTGTTGTCTAAATCTTTATATATATTATATATATATATATAATGTGTGTGTGTGTATGTGTTTTAAAGAAAACCTGAGATAACATCATTTGATGTGTCATGTAATATCCTGCATTTAAAAAAATGACAACAAATTTGCTTCTTGAAATTAGAGGCATGGAAAGGATTTAAAGAATGTATCTTCTAGTCAAAGATTCTGTGTTCAATCTGAATTTTAAATCATTGCAGACAATTTTCCTTATGTAAATTTTAATAAAAATCCTATTGTAATAGAACAAAATTAATCAGTCATTTCACAGTTTGCTTTTTAGATTAAATTGTTTGTATTGATAGTGGGGGAGGACCTCGGATAATGAAATGGCACTTTACAGAGACTGCCTGAAATATTTGTGAACGTTATTTATAACTAGAGGTGTCCAGTTGGCAACTTGAAGTAGTTGTTGGCAAGTGGGCACTGGGTTTCACCCCTTCAGTCATCAAAAATGGGGTTCCTTCAAGGGTTCCAGGAATTTTTTTAATGATGCAGCTGCAGTAAATTTTCTGCAGTAATTAAGTGACTTAGTAAAATAGCTACATTGATTCAGTTAAGCTTGATGCCAGTATTAAATATTTTCATCATTTATCAGGATTCAAGTAGGCAGTCATTTTGGTCAGTATCAACAGTTTATTAAAATACCACTTTGTTGTTGTTAGGTGTCATTGAGTTACTTCTTACTCATTGTAGCCCTATGTACAACATTCAAAACAGTGCCACAATCACAATTGTTATGTTTGAGCCTCTGGTTGCTGCTACTATGTCAATCCATATCATTGTGATTCTTCCTCTATTTCACTGACCCTCCACTTTTTCAAGCATGATGTCCTTCTCCAGGAACTGGTACCTCCTAACAACATGTCCAAAGCACAAGAGACAAAGCATCACCCTCCATATTCAGTTTATTAGAAGATCATATTAGGTTTGTTAACATATCCATAGAAAGTGTTGGTGGGGGCATTGGTGGCTTCATGGTAAAATTCTTGACTTCTGTGAGAGACACCCAGTTTTGGTTCCTGGCCAGTACATCTCATGTGCAGCCACTATCTGTCTGTCAGTGAAGGTTTGCATATTGCTATGATGCTGAACAGTTTTAGTGAAGCTTCCAGACTAAGAAGAGAGGACTAGTGATGTATTTCTGAAGATCAACAAACAAAAATCTTATTGATCACATGATCTGATCTGCAACTGATTATGAAGACAGCACAGTGGTGGACTGCATTTTGTTTGGTTGTATATGGGGTCTTCCTAAGTTGGACTGATTCTCTGGCAACTAAAAACAACAGTCTGGAAGGGGCTGGACCTGGAGTCCTGAAGAACTTGGTGCAGCATCCTAGAATAAGTTTTGTCTGTCCCTACCAAAGGCCTGTGTGATGAAATCCATCTTGAAGAAATGATGAGCTTGAACTTCATTAGCATGGTACCTCCTAAATGAGCCATTTCCCTTCCCAGCAATCCCTACCTACTCCTATGAATAAACATGGTAACTTTCCCACCTAAGACCTTTTAAATCCCAGCAAAGTCTCTGTTTAGAGACTTTGCCTAAGAGCCCTCCTTGGAGTCCTGGTTTGGTGCTACAGGATAATGCACTAGACTTCAAGGTCAGTTTGAACCACAGGGTTGGTGGTTCAAACCTACCAGCCACCCTATCCAGAGTCACTATGGACCAGAACCGATTCGAAGGCACTGAAAAACAGCAGTTTTTTCCTTCCTTGCCTTTCTTGCCTCCTCTGGACAGATCTTTTCATCTCAATAAATTTTTAATTTGTTTGCTCATGTGAAATTCTTTCTGTCTAACCCCATCAATGCTGGTCAGCAACAAGGACTCTGCATTGAAGAGTGAATCCCTACACCCAGTAACATTGGGGTGGTTTCTCTGGGTTTCATGTCCTCAATGAAGTAGGCATTAAGTGTAAAGCACCCTCTGCTTACCTACATCCTGGCACTTTTGACATTGGACTGAAATGACAGGATCTTATCTGCCTCTTTTGCAAAACTATAAACACCTTGAAGATGGAGACTGGAAATAATAAGATAAATAATTAACCGGAACTGCCATTTGTTAAGGAATTTACTATGTCCAAACGTGTGCTTTGCTTGTATTATTGTTTTTTCAGATTCACAACAACTCTATGAGGTGTTTCCTGTTTTACCGATGGAAAATGAGGCTCAGAGAACTAGGGAAAGTAGCATAGTGTCGCACGACTATTATGTGAAAAAGCTATATTACTTACAGTTTATCTTTGGGCTCAACCAGCATGTTACCTGTTGAGATCATGTATGAATGAATGAATAAATAAATATAAATATGAAGGGTTAACTTAAGATGTTGAAATAAAGTTAACTGCATAAATAAAAAGCAAATTCATAGGGTCAATAAAAAAATAAATATTTTTGTTGTTGTTTTTTTAGAGGTTATTTTAGCCTGCAAATATCCAAAGAAAACACTTTCATCCCGGTTAGAGTGGAAGAAACTTGGGCGGGGTGTCTCCTTTGTCTACTACCAGCAGGCTCTTCAAGGTAAGAAGTTGCAGACTTGATGAGGAGAGAACAAGAACACCGAGTACAGTGGATTCTTTAATTTACAAGTGAAAACAGGCTAATTAATAAAAATGTGCTTTTGCAAGTGTGACATGAAACCAACAGTGACTAAAACCTGACACACAGCAGCCACAGAAGCAGGACAAAGGTCAGAACCTCATTGAGTTCCTGGACCCTTCGTTTCTCAGCTGTATCCCAGAGGATACAAAATAGAGTTATTCTTTCAGTCCCTGTTGATTAAATTCTTCAGAAAGAAAGAAAAGATGGTATGGAGTGGGAAGGGAGGTATGCTGCTTTGTAGTAATAACGTATCTGACCTCCATACCTCCATCTGAGAAATGTAGGAAGTTATGACTGACAGGAAGGTAATTACAATTTTCGTTATCAAGTGCTTTTATAAAAAGTAGATACACATATTTTCCATTCCTTCTCTTCCTGTTGAATTTGTCATGAACTTTTCATTAAAAATATTCATAACAATGGAAAAAATGCTGTTAGTCTAAATTTTGCTTCCAGATAATACAATGGTATGGAGTGGAGACAAGATAAACCATCAGTTGATTATTGTTACAACTGGTGATGAATATTGTTATAGCTGTGTGATGTTGGGGTTTATATTATTATACTCCTTTAATTTTATATATGCTTGAAATTATCCCCGCCATTAAAAAGTTTTAAATTTGAAAACACAGTTTCAGAATTATAAATATATTGTTCCTTTTAAGTGTATTTAATTTGAAAGTATTAAATAAGTGAAAATCTTAAAGAATCTTAGAAAATTTATAATATCCCTTTAGTTTGTATCTGTCAAGACAAAGCTACAGATTGCCAAGAGCTAAAAGTATAAGCATCTCTCTTGAATGTTCTGCAGTTGCCATTCTGGTAGCTTTGCTTTATAAAATGCTATTTTAGTTAAGTATATACTTACATATATATAGATCTATATACATAAAATAAGGAGCTCTGGTAACGTATTGGTTATGAATCGGGCTGCAAACCGCTAGGTCAGCAGTTCGAAACTACCAGTTGTTCCGCTGGAGAAAGATGAGGCTTTCTGCTCCCGTAAAGATTTACAGCCTCGGAAACCCTGTGCAGGATCGCCATGAGTTGGAACTGACTCCATGGCACATAACAACAACAAAATTAGGCTTAGTAATAGGAAAATAATAGGAACAAAATGCTTTTGTTCACTGAATGAAGTGACTTGAGAAAGATGATATTTCTTGGAAAGTCACTTGCATTATTAACATCATTGTTTTTGTTTGTTTGTTTTCTAAAAGGTGATTTTAAAGATCGAGCTGAGATGATAGATTTTAGTATACGGATCAAAAATGTTACAAGAAATGATGCCGGGCGATATCGTTGTGAAGTTAGTGCCCCATCTGAGCAAGGCCAGAACCTGGAAGAGGATACGGTTACTCTAAATGTATTAGGTGATATACATGTATCTGTGTGTGATTACTGTCCTCCACCCTTTCCCTACCACCTCAGCCCTTGGAGGAGTGAAGCGCTGTTACCTTGACTGTGGTTGTTTTTAAATGCCATCAAGTCATTTCTGACTCATAGCAACCCTTACAGAGTTTCTAAGGAGCGGCTGGTGAGTTTGAACCACTGACCTAGTGATTCAAACTGTCCAATGCTTTGTCCCACAGTGCTACACCAGAACCTTAGCTAGTAACTGTTATAACAAGTCACAGAAGCTACAAGTGTCACTCTTCCTGATTGTCCCTGACTAATTCTTCTTATTTCCCCATAGGCTACTGAAACTTTCCCACTGTAAAATCATTACCAAAAAAATCTCATTTCTATTTTTTCCCCAATGTTTTATTGTGAATTATGTGATTGTTTACATGGGAGAACATTAGCTTTACATTCATCCTATTGTATATCCCTTCATTGGTTACAATCCCCTCCTTGCATCATCAACCAACCAAAGGGTATACCCTCCAAGCGTTCTGTGCACCCAACCCCCCCACCTGGTCATCAAGCACACAGTCGCTCTCCCTCTCTGGGTCTAGAGTTCCCAGCCGCTCCATCTCTCCATGTCCCATCTTTGCCTCCATCTCTGGCGTCACTGTTTCTCTGTGTAGGGTCCCGCACTCTGCTCTTCTTCCTTGATGGTCCCAGGGACCTACGCTCCTGGACTGCAAAGTCAATCACTTCCCTCCTTTTGCTACAAAACGTCTACCATTATATTTCCAACCCTTACAAACAGTCCTGATAACAATTATTCACCAATTTACCACAAGGGATCTATCCCCATCTCCTTTCATCAGCCC